TTTCTTAAAAGGCATATATAGATAGGTTAGCCTCCCAAGAGCTTGTGCTCATTATAAAAGGTGGTTCCTTTTATATGCACCTTTCTTGGAAATAACTCTTCCAACAAGTTTGATAGCTGCTGGTGTTTTGTATCAACCCTTCTTCCCAGAACAAGTATGATTCAAAGCAGCAGGGTTATGAATAGGATGGAAGGATGCAGTACAGAATATAAAAAGAATGGTTATGTTTTCTTCTCATGAAGTTAAATAAATGAACAGAATTAGAGAAAAAACAAAATGAAGTCTGCAAGTATATCAAATGCCAAACAGATAGAAGACTTAGACATACTCTTGGAAATTTCAAGCACTTGGATCACAGCGATAATAATGGATGGGCATGATTTTAATTTTTTTGTTTCTTTGTTATCTTCTTCAAGTTGCCAGACCCAAAAATAAAAACAGAACATTTACAAGCAAAAAAGTAAAATAGCGCAAAACTACATAAAAAGGAAAAAAAAAAACAGAAATTTAAGCCCCTTTTCTTATATCCAGAGGAAGTCTGGGGAAATAGACAAAAAGCAATAAATATATTGGTTGGATTGCTTATGTTTTAAGCTATTTACAGTAAGGATCTAGAACTGTACTCTAGTTTGATCACTTTTATGCTAAAACTGAATACTGTTGAATAAAATTATATTAAGCCATCTTTTCCCCTACCCCTTTTCGCCTTTTTTAATTGGATGAGGACATATTTCGCTAAGTATGACATTTAAAAATTACTGAACTGTCAGTTTCAGAAAATTTAATCTATAAGAATACAGAACCATTTAACACATTAAACTTCCTTTCAAAAATAAAGGTATAAATAATATATTAGCATTGGCTTTTATTTGCTACCAGTAGTGTCAAGGATTCACCTAGCATTTAGTTTATCCTGAACTGTAAATACTACTCGTTGTTTTCCAGGCTGTTCAGTACTTGGCAATCTTTCCTGGCAATTATGATGTCTCCCCAGGTATGAACCAGCTCTAGTAAACTCTGAGTAGGACACAATATCTCCCATTTTGAGTTTACTATGTCCCAATTTCCCTTCCAATGCCAGATAGTTCAACTCAATGAGTCCTAAAAGGTTTGTCATCATTTGTGTATCATTTCTTTTGTGTAAAACCTGCAGATATGTATTGCTTGCAGTATCCTCTAATATGTTAATTCTCAAAAAATGCATCAAGCCGTAATTTAAAGCTTTTAAATGCTTTATTTTACAGAATTTCCACGCCAGTACTATAAAAAGTTCTTGGGGAGACTTTCAAAAAGAGTAAAACTGACAAAAATTGTAAATTTAGTAATACTGAATTTGATGGCTGTATACATGTGCTGTTGTATTCAACTGCTTTATACAGCTGTGTTTCTATCTACAATGCAGTGTGAAACCTAGAGCAAATTTTGATTTCCCAGATGTCAGCTACATTTTTCAAAGTACACTTTTCAGCATCATTATTGACATTAACTACTGGCATATTTTCAAGCTAAATTTGAAGCTTTCATCTTATAGGAATCCATAGCACTACTGCACCACAATACTACAAAAATTGGGTCTTGGAACATCTTCCTAAACATTTAGTCTTGCATTTGACATTTTTCTCATGAACTGGAGCCTTCACGCCACCTACAACTCAATCCAAATCCCTAAAAGCCATTCCAGAAGTTCAAGGACCCTCTGGAACTCTGTTCAATGCAATGAACAAAGTTGTAGCTGCAAGGTGTGGTGGGACAGACAAAACTGGCAAAAATTCGAGATTCTTCCCCCTGAACCAAAGTGTTCTTCATTGCACAAGAATGGAATTAGATTGTGGATTAAGTTAATAAATCTTATTATGTAAATTGTTCATAGTTTATGTTTCTTATTCCTGCTCATCCCTGTATAATTAAGCAACTGCAAGGGGTTCTGGGATGCTGTTCTCCCACTTTCTACCCCCACAAATCTACAGACTGTCCCAATTTTAATTGCTATATCAAAGCAATGTTAATTGCAGGTAAAGATTGTCAGGGTTTCTGTTTCTCTGGGGTCTGAAAAAAGCAGAAACCCTGCATAGCCTTAGCAGCTGCTAACGCACTTGCTGAGATAAAACTTGACTACAGATAAGCTAGGTGGTCAGAATTCATGTTCCAGAATGGAATAAAAAGCATTGTGGAAAAGGAACCACAACGCCCTCTTTTTGGCTTCTAATTGATTCACTGCAGTCTGTAGCAACTGAATCAGGTTTGTTCATAATGTGAGCATACAAACAACACAATTACATTTTTAAAATATATAATTCTAAAGCTGATACTAATGAAAGGGGAAAGTAAAAAGAAAAATGTATGAAGTTAATGACAATCTAGTAAATACACTACAGGCAATAAAAAATGAGGGAAACTAGCACAAAAAGTAGGCTACAAAGACTAATGTGGGTTTATCAACACATAATTTTTGAGTCTGGCCTAATTTATTTATTGCCTTGACATCATTTTGCTTTCCCTTTATTTTATAGAAGCACATTTGTTTCTGAAAATTGGCAATACCTGTGTCTACCTGTCCTGTCTGGGAGACTGAAAGATAAAGGTCTGTAAAGAGAAGAATGGAAAGAACTAGAAAAGATCAGGTGGTTTGGAAAAATGAGGACTGACTTAAAACGACCAAATTCACACCCAGCTGAACACTACAAGTACAACACAAGTATCCCAGTTTTTCCAGAGGACACCTTCCATGTCACTGATAGTGCCTGACAAACCCTCACCCCAAAAAGTTCCTCTAACCAGAAACCTGAAGCCTTATTAGTTGGATTTCAGAGGGATTGCCAAATTTCTGTTTCTGTATGTGTATTACAAAATGGAAAACTAAAACTGCTCACAGCTTGAAAAGAGTGAAGCAGATGGTCTACTTCATCGTATCCATATCCTATAAATTCAGCTGGTACATATTGTTTTATTTCTTACAAAAGGTTTGATTCTTAGTAAGTCAAAAACCTACCCACTTACTTTGGAGCAGGCTCTTCCATATTTAGCAAAATCATCAAGGGGTAAATAGACTAGTAGGTGGAGCTCAGCTTCCTAAAAGCTGAGTAAAACTACTTTTAAATTTCTCAAAGCCTTTGTGGAGAAAAATAACCACACAGTTCAGAAAGCCAATTTCAAAACCTTTCCATTCATGTTTTGGAAAGGGTTCTTTGTACACCAATTTAAGTAGAATACCAGCTTGGATCCAAAGAACTGCATGCAGTGTTCAGAGTGTGCAGCAGGGCTTTCCCTGGTGTCCCTTGAAAAGCCATCACTAGGGTCACAGGACACTTCAAAATCATATGCAACATGGACAGGCCTCAAGGGCTGTGGCTAGGTGCGGGGGAAGGAAGGGATCAGCAAAGCACACACCCTGTATACAAGCAGAAGGCAGACTTTGGATCATAGCCAATGGTTGGGATTAAGTGCTGACATGTGAAAAAAGTAAACCTTCAAAAGGATCTACCAAGTAGCTTTACAGGACTAATTAATGTATTCAGAGATTACTTTGCCTTCTCTAATTCACTATTAACAGGCAATAGCAGTATGAACAGCTACATCAGTATGATCCAGTAACTGTTATTTTGTTCTTCTATCAAATTTTATAATATGTACTTAAAAATGTAGATGAGGCAATGGAAATTGAAGTTAATCTAGTCCCATTCACTGAAATGGTCTACTTGCATTTTAAAAGAATTGTCTACAAGTTTAGAGTTAACCATTTAATCCTCAGGCTTTTGAAAGAGCCTTTTTAAAAAAATGTGCTTCAGAAAGGGATCAAGACTAATTTAAAAGAGTTATTCTGAATTACTCATGGAAACTAGATTTCATACCATTCAAGCCTGATTCCAAGTTTATTTGATTATATCTTTAGTAATATTCTTGCACCAGCATATCGGCATGCATCATATCACATCCTATCCAATTTCTGCGCTTCTCAGCCAATGCTGTACAATACTTTAAGAAGTATATTAGCAATAAATTAGGTGACTGTCTAATCCAATTGTGAATTAAAAGCACTATTGGGAAAGCTTGAGGAAAACCACTAGGAAATTCACTTTTAAATTTTGTGGGGAAACTGGAAATGTATTTTCTTTTCCATGGAGCACAAAGATAAAGTGCATCATATGTGTCTATACATCAAATTAGACAAGGCATTAAAAGCATAATTAAATGGAGAGGCATTATTTACACTCATTGCAGCTCTCCTCCTGGGACAAAACAGTGGGAGGAAGCAACATGGGGCAATTCTCCTCCCCATGATTACTAAAAAATAATAATAAATGAGATGTTAGATTTATCATTCGAAGAATTGATTATTCTGTCAAATTATACAGCCTTTTGATATTCCCAATTCTTCTTTGTGGGAAAGAAAAGGTGACATCAATTTCTAGATGCCCATTGTTTTAAAAGAAAGTTAACATACCACCAGACATACTACAATGTTAGGCAAAAAGTAATTTGAGGGCATAATGTCACTAGATGATGAATTTATCCAGATTTATAGTGCTTAACCTGATAGTTAGCTTCTAGTTAATTAGAGTTAGCCAAGGTCATATCTTCATTTCTTGCTCAAACTTCTTTAACTAATGTGTAGCAGATATTCATCATATTAATATGTGTAATTTCTGTTTAATGCATATACATCCTTCAATGAGGCATCCTAAAAAAAATGCTAACACCAAGATAAGATTTTCTGGGGGAAGGGGCAGGAATCAGTCTATAGGAATCTGAAACCTTGACTGAAGGAAGCTCAGAAATGTTTCCATATCACAGTTGCCAATGGCATTTGTAAGCTTGTTAGAAGGAAAAGGGAATGTTCAGCTATTTAAGCAGTCAAGGCTTTAACATGCCAAATACTAAATACTTATTTGTTGCAGTACAAGTAGCTGAATATAAAGCAATACTAAAAAATACATGGCAGTTTCAGATCATGCAAATTGTATGATCATGCTCCAATCAACTTTAATGTTTTTCAGTCTTACCTCAGATTTTTCCAGCTTATTTTGAGCATCAATTTGGGTGACAATTTCATTCATATTGGTTTCCAAAACCATTCCACCCATCACCATTTCAGCTAGGATGTTATGGACCTAAAAAATAAAGGCATATAGGATTAAGCCGCTGCAGCACTAATACTTCTCTATCTATTACAAAGTTTTCTCAAGTTATATTGTACTTAAAGTAAATTAGCTTTTTAAATTTAAAATTGGTAACATAGCAAATATTTAACTTACAGAGATCTAGCAATGGTTACTCATAAGAGCCTGAAACATAATAGTTAATATTCTAGATTTGTAGAAATCTTTAACTCTTGAATGCGAGAGCCACCTCCTCTCAAAAGATGCATTCATGTCTACTTCATCAAGACTCCAAAAATCAGTATCAACTCCAGACACAGTTGGCGAGACTTACAATTATATTAAATATTGGCATTTACACTGTATGGCCAATGTTAATCAGGTTTTCATACTGGACATTTCTTTATTCACAGCCATACAAATTTCAAAGCTTGTATAACATATGAACTTTTTTTTCTAACAGCATTTCATAGCACAATGGAAGGTAGCATCACAGGGACAGAAATACTGATGTTTCAAAATACTTTGTTCCAGTTCAAGAGGTTACAATGCTGAAAAAAAAAAAATCAGTATAATGAAGGAATGGATCCCAAACTGTGTAATAAAAAAATCTGAAATTACTTCATACTCAAACCTTTTGATTCTAGAGCACTGAGATATAGTCCTAGGCTGCTCTTATAATTATATTCAGCTAATACAACTATAAGCATTATTATGCAACAAACACAAGGGCAATGACATTTAAAATGTGATATGCAATTACTCAAACCATTGTTGTGCCATGAATTCTGTATAGGACTCAGTGTTCTGATATGCAATCATGGTAAGAGTCTTGCTTTATATGATTTAGTCCAATACCAGTATTTTTTACATTCTAAAACATGTTGGCAAGACACAGATTACTAGAGACCAACAGGCATGAGCTACAGGGAAAAGGAAGCTTGGCTTAGGACTTATATTGCATGGTTTAGCACGTATATCTAAAGCATTCTAGATTCAGGGCAAAAGAGAGCTCATGTTTCAAAAAGTGTTCTTAGAAGTTGCAAGGGTAAAATTTTCCATGTTTTTTCATCTTCCTTCTCTCTGCATCTCTCCAAATCCAGATGTAACAAGTACATTACTAATCGCTAAAAGGGACAAGACTTCACATAGGAAAATTAAAGGGAAGTTGTTTGGGCCTCAAACATTCACTGTTCCAGTCAAAGGCTGCACTCTTGGAAGAAATTACTGTAGTCCCAAAGGAGCTATCAGAGATGTCTAGCAGTGACGTGTGGGAGGGAAAGATACATACCCAAGGGAGCAAGTTCAGATAAGGCCTTCAGAAAAGTTGATTCCAGTTTAACCTCAACCACAAATTATTATAAACTCACAGGATCAAAACATAACAAAGACATAATAATTTGAAAGAAATAATGACTATCACTGAAGAGAACTTTTCTTTACAAAAACTTCTAGCCTGCTGTGAAATTTTTGAACAGAAAAATTAAGCAGCTTATTCACGCTGACACATTTTCTGAATCACCATCAAAACATATTACAAAGACAAATGGTTTTAAGTTTTCTTTCTGCACCATTTCCCTAAGTATTCTGTTTTCACTGCCTATCCTTTCTTCTCTGCAGTCACCTGCATGGTTTTTCCTGGTGGCAGACCCGGGAAGAGCCTTCAAACACTTCAAAAAGTGATTTTTTTGAAGCATTAATTTTGGCTGGAATATCTTTTTAAAAGTGATCTTTGCTGCAGCTGGTATCTTTGTGTAAATTATACAGCTAGTAATCAGGAAGTTTTCCAGCTATCTACCATCTCCTTTTCAGCACAATGTCTGCATGTTTACTCCAATGTTCCACACTGTCCAAAGCTTGTTCCAAGGAACGAATATACAAAATTACAGACTTCATCAGTAAATTAAAGTCAGAAAGTTTGACTTTTCTATTATTTACAAAGTAATACCCACAACTAAGTCCTCAAAAAGGTCATGTGTAAGGTCATATTTATTCAACAACAGAAATGACTAGATGATTTAAAGTGATGACATTTAAACAGAGACAGGACTTTTTATATGAAAGATACAGAAAAAATGTTTCTTGTCAGCAGACTATTTTGAATAGCAGTTCATCACAGTACCTTGTCTACGTGGAAAATTAAATCCAGTTCGCAGACATTCTCAAAACATTTGTCTAATGTTTCTACGAACACCTGTGGGAGGGAAATACAAGGGGTTAAGGCTTAGTAATAGCTCAATCATTCCATATGTTTAAACTGCAAATGTGGCAAACAGACACAGCTAACCATAAAGAATTCTGGAGTCTGCTGTATCTGCACAATATGCATGATTAAAGCAGTGGATTGTTTCTGAAGATCCTAGGAGCAATAATAACAATGAAACTTTACTAAGTTAATGTATTCTTGCTTCTTATTCAAATATAGCACATTTCAAACAGAATTCATACTTTGAAAACATGTATCAAGTTAAACAAGTCTAAAGAGCTACTGTCATAATTTTGTGACTTGATTTATATAAACAATGCTGAACTAATGAAACTCTTCCCCAAGATGTGGGGCAGGCTAAACAATCCATCATTTAGCTACTACCACAAGATAAAAGTCCTGGCTTGAACCTGGACAATAAACCTGGGTAGGCCCTACAGAATTAGTTTATTGGTTCCCACCACAGGTGGCAACGTTCAGTGATGGGACAAGCTGCATCCTTGTACTTCTGTTATTTAGGACTGCCACAAATGTGCATCGGTGCATGTAGACCATTCCTTAAAAAGAAAGGCATTTAATTCTGAAATAAGGCTATTTCTAAAAGCAGTACTTATATGGCATGTAAGCTACCAAAACATATAAAAGTGTTCTACAGAAAAGCAACAGAGTTCACTAATACTTGATGTCTGCCCAATACTGGATTCCCCAGCTTTAGTGGAATATTTTAGACATAAAGTATCCCCCAGTTTACAATGGGAGGATAAATATAATCCAATAAAATACAAAGTACAAATAAACATAATAAATTACAATGCAGAATTAAAAGCCAAATTTAAACCCAAATTATTTAAAAGTTACAATAGTTTACACAAATTAAGTCATGAGACTTAAGTCTCCACAATATTTCTTAATCCTTCCCAGGCAGTTTATTTAGAAACATAACCTGCTGAATTCTGTGAAACTTATTCCCAAGTATGGGTGCACAGCACTGCAACCAAAGTCTTCTATGAATATGAATGTTTTCTGCCAGTGAATTATTTGCACCGTACAGTGGTACCTCGGCTCATGAACGCCTCAGTTCAAGACCAAATCAGATTGTGAACAGAAATTTCAGGAAAATTTTGCCTCAGGTCACAAACTCTGCATTCGGTGACGATCACAATAGTACCCGTCTTCCCTGCCCGAGCGTGACCATGATCATGCCCATCTATGGCCACGGTCATGCTCGTGCAGAGAGGATGGGAGTGATTGCTGTCGTGCTGGTGGGGAGAGATGGCCGCGATCGTGCTGGGAGGAAGACAGCCATTTTGACAGCCATTTCTTTTAAAAACTCTCTCTCACCTGCTCATATTTCGGGTAATAAAAGAAAATGTGAAAAGGTGTACCAAACTGACAAGGGGCAGGTACATTAGCGTTCATTTGGAGGTATCTTAAAAAATCATCTCATCATCTGGGAAGTCGGAAATGCATTATAACCAGGTAGTTCACCAAATAACAGGCAGACTCAGCTTTGTAACATCTTAGAGATGTCCTGTATTGCAAAATTAGAGGATCTAGCTATGGCAACAATAAATCTAAAACAGTCTTGACAAAAATTAAAATCCAGAATTCCTTTCTGAGGAATGTCCCAGTTGAAAGGAAACACAGGAAACCTTCTAAATCAAAGCAAAATGAAATCCCCAAAGGACATGCAACACCACTCAGCCACTGAGCACCTATTAGCCTCTCAAGATTTGTGTGGGCAAAGTTTCTCACAAATGGAAGAAACACAAGTTTGCAGGACAGAACTGAGAAATTTACCACTGACCAGGAATGAACCATCTTCTGACCTCCTCTCAGGGAGAGAATAAATCAATGGCCAACCCAGTCTGCAGGACTGGCATAAAAAATGTTTCATTCAAGGTCTCATTGGTTAAGATCTAATAAAATAGAATATTTTTCAATGTAATTTTTTTAAAATCAAAAATGCACCAGTTCAAAAACATATTGATTTCCTTGTAAATGACTTACTTGTATTAGATCTAAAATTCCAAGTTCGCTTTCTGAAGAATCAACGCAGAAGACAAAGTACAATGTGGCATAATGTCGATATATCAATTTGTTGTCAGAGCCACCTATTAATCTAAAACAGAGCAACATTTGCATCAGAGCAGTTAACATTCATTTTATCTTTATTAGTGGCTACAACTTTTTTTATATTGGAAAGAAAAACATGAAAAGGGAGAATTAGTTAAGTACACAGGTGTCAAAAGCAATACATTCAAATAATTGCAATTGCATCAGTACATGGTGACTCTTCATAAAACACACTATCACAGCTGCAAATAATGTGCAGATTGCTATCTGCACTGCTATGGAAAATGATAGCTAATGATCTCAAATATAGTGAAGATATGAATAACAGTACTACATAAAAATGTGTCAAATATTCAGCTTATAAAGGCTACTCAGGTATTGTAAGATTGCATAAAATACTTGAATATACATCCTTTATACTATCAGAACTGTTGACATTACAGAAATGTGATGTATCCTAGAATAAAAGCTATAGTTACATAATCTGACAGGAAGTATTTGAAATATACAGGATCAAATTTCCTCATAAAATATGCACATTTTGTCTAACAGAGAAAAACAGAGCAATTTTACAAAGGGTTCTCTGATAAAGATTGCAATGAATGAATGAAGGATTTACACAGTGGCCCGATTCACAGATAAACAGTAACCTATGATTTATTTAACACTAGATTGAAAACTTAAGACCAGACCAATGGTCCATCCAATCCAGCACTCTGTTTACACAGAGGCAAACTGGCAGCCTACAACAGTTTCGGGCTGCTCAAGCTCTCCAGCATAGTGCCTCTTATACCAGAGGTAATACATAGCCAACAACACTAGTAAGCATTGATAGTCTTCTGCTCTATGAATCTGTCAAGTTCCCTTCCAAGTAATTAAATACATTTATTCAATTATAAATAAATGAAATATTCAAATAAAAATACATGTATTTGTTTTTCTGAATAATTTGCAAACTAATATTCATTTTCCTGGAAGGAAGTGGTGGATTTACTTTCAGCCATTAGCTCACAGTTTACACTTACAATGAGAACAAAGAATGGCGTTCTCAGCCCTCATCTCCTTGCCTGCTGCCCAACTTACACAGCTGCTAAACTTGCCTGTGCACTGATACTTTGTCACTGGAGCTGCAATACTTCATCACTAGAGCTCTATGGTTTGTTGCCTTATTCTGGGTTTGCCTGGCGAACAAACTGTGAGTTTCCCAGCATTCCAAATGCCTTACCAACACTGTTGGACTGATATGGAGTTCTTGACCACTCCTTGTCACTACCTCCACAATCTGCCAAACAACCTATCCACAAACCATGGTTCCAAGGTCATGTGTAAAAACAACCAATGGTTTAAAAAGCCCCAGAATTCAACAATCCATGGATTAGCTCATGGGTCAACAACATGGCAGCCACAGGCCCCAGTGGCATCCACCAAAAAAAAGCAAGCTGAATTAAACCATTTTCCCCCAACAGGCCTCTTTCATTGCTCACATGCAGCTCTCCTTTCTGCTTTTCTTCCCCTCTTCCACTGGTTGAATTTTTAGTCACTCTGCTGTCTCTTATCACCTTTCCTTCCTTCCTACCACTCTCTCTACCATCTCACCTTTCCTCTACACTGCCGCAGTCTCCACCCTGTATGTGCCACTGCTGGCTGCCCTTTCCTTCTTTCTTTCTGCCACTGCCCCCAAACAACTCAGAAGATAGGTTGACGGAAAAGATGATCAGGACAAGCAGAGGAAGGGTTCAGATGCAAGTGGACAGCAAGGCAACCAGTGGGAAAAGCATGCTCACAGGGCCCCCAGACCAAAAAAGGCTGCCAACTCCAGAATTACTGTTAAGTGATTACTGGATCATTGTGTGAATACTAGTACAGCAAGGATCTTAGGTTAAACTATTCTTTATTTATCTAGTAAAGATGCTCCTCAACTAATGTTTGAAAATGCAGTGACATAACACCTTCTGTCACCATCATGTGGCATCATAGAAGTATGTTACTGGTAGGAGGTGGAGGGGCTCGCTCATCTTCCCATGGCAGCCACCAGTCACCAGAGACAATGCAGCATGGCTGAGAGTCTGCTTGGGTGGAAGGAGGTGTGGGACTCTGTTTGCAGGGATGCGCGGGCACATGCACAGCTGCGCAGGATTGGTGGCCAGAGCAGGGACAGCTGCTTTGGGAAAGGGAAAATAAGGGCAGGGCCAAGACAAACAGGAGGTGGTGGGCAGAAGAGGAGAGTGGGCAAGAGAGCAGAGGAGGAAAGGAAAGGATGAGGAGACACGCAAAAGGAGGCTTTGGGAGAAAGCTGGCGTTGCCTCAACACAGAGACAGTCAGACAGAAACAGCAAGGGCAGTCCCTGCACCCAAGACACAAAGCTGCCCACCTCCCCCGAGACAACGTCACTTGTTGCCATCGAACTAGGGGTGAGGAAGGGTCTAGGTGAGGAAAGGGCTTTGGTGTTTCGGGCAGCACAGCCATGACAGAAGCTGTAAACCACAAATAAAAGGACCTGCTGGGTGAGCTTGCTTCCTCAGGAGTGTTACATGGAACAAGAAGCCTTCAACACACCCCTCCCCGCAACTCTGTTACAGTCATATATTCAAATTATATTCCAGTTTCATGCTTGGTTAAAGTTGGCTTCACAAAGTTTTGTGTTCTTACCTTAAGAGTTTTTGCATCTATAATGAACCTCAATACTATACCAAAAAGCATATAATAGTATCATACTTACAAGCCTCCTTCTAGGAAGTTACAAACATTTTCATCACGTTTTGATACTAAATGAAAAGTTTCTCGGATAATTTGTTGCTGAATATCTTCACTCTGGAAAAAAGGGAAAGGGGATTATGGTAGTGCAGCAATATGTAACTAATCCCTCTTAATACAGTTGCATACTGTTAGCATTGCTCCATCACCATATACTGCTCCATTAACCATACCTAATAAGGCCATTCAACCTCAACATTTTGTGTTTGTAACTAAAGATGGATAATCTCAGGTTCTGTAAAAGCAGCATTTAGGCTAAAGGCATAAGCTTATGGGGCAACCCACTTGAAAGACAGAAGCCCTCTGTCTATCCTACACCCTTGCAGCGTAAATGTAGTGTGCAGGCCATTTCTCCTCTTCTGTTTATTGTATTTCAATAAACAGGATGGGATTCTTCAGCCAATCTAGCTTAGATTTTAGTGAGTAAGAACACTGGAGAGGTCATAGCCACACCTGCACCCATCAGCACCTGTCATTTCCTCCCTTGTGGCGTTCTTTTACAAGGCCATGTTGCAGCCTAACAAGCTTTCTACCACAGCTGGATTGGGGAGGAAAGACACACATGCAGCTATTCTCCTTCATGCTGGTAGCTCGACTACTGGCATGAAGGAGATCCATAGCATCCTACAGGAGCTCAGAGGCTGTCTGGAAGAACACAATACTCCTCTCCAAATTGATTACATGTAAACTGATCACAATTCTCCTCACTGATCAACATTTTTCCTTTCCTAGTTCAGCATGACTTTCAAACATATGAGTTAGTTCCTATGTAGAATAGCATCCTCTAAAACAGTGTCAAAGTCATATTAATTCATAATATGCAACGAAAAACAGTCTCCTGTAGCCTCTTACACAAAGGGGATCTAGCAGATCTTGCACTGTGGATTGGTCTATGAGCTACAACCCATCCAGGCTTATTCACATGGCTTAGCGTGTCATCTGCACATGGCCATTGAGGAAAATGTGAAAGGCATAGCACTGCATGTTCTTTATAGTTTTTCAGCTGAGTTTTAAAAAATTAAGAAAAAATTATTAATTACAAGAAATGCTTTCCAATCACAAATGAGTAGGCACTGTTCACTGCATTATGGAAAACAGAAAAACTGATAGAACAATACTCTGAAAACTGATACTTCACAAACATTGCCAGGGAAGAGGTGAGCTAGCCAATTACCAACCAATCCAATCCAAGCAGAGTTACACATGTATATCCTCATTAATAAAAATCAGTGAGCTTAGGCAAAGCTAACTCAATGTAGGATCATTTGACATCCAATATATTATTGTTAGATTAAAACAAAACAGAAGGAACAAATGAACTAAAGGAAGGAAGGAAAATAGATTAAGTCTTCATTTGCCATAAGACTGTTACATAAAACAGAGTGAATGAAATGAAAGCTGTGTCAACAACTTTATCTGCCTTCCACTGCTAGTCATCTAGCTGTTGGTACAGTTCTTAAACAACCATATTGATTTCATATGTATAGTGGCACCTCGACTCACGAATGCCTTGGTTCACAACCAAATCGGGTCGTGAACAAAAATTTCATGAACATTTTGACTTGGGTCGCGAACTCCGCATTGGATGGCGACCAATATCGCAGCTATCTCCCCCACCCCCGAGTGGGGAGATGGCCACAATCGCAGTTGCATTCATGCAGGAAAGATGTGCATGATCACAGGCGCGCTTCTGCAGGGAAGAAGGGTGCAATCTCAGCCATCTCCCCCACCCCAGTCAGCACAATCGTGGTCATCTCTCCCCTCCACCAGCACAATTGCGGCCATCTCTCCCCCCCCCCCC